ATTCCACTCCCTCTATCTCTTGAACTCACATGAATGATTATGAAAAAATAAATTTTAGCAACTAGCAAAATCAATAGTAATTTATTTCAAAATGAAAGCAATTCAGCTAGGTTCTTTTACTTGAAAGACAAGTCCGGAAAGTTTAATAACTAGATATTTCTATAGCTGAAACCTTTAAGCATCAGGTTGGGCAAGGCAGTTGCACGTGTGTGTGTGTGTACACATGGCAATAGCATGCCTGTGAAGCATCCGACTACTCTTTCCACTGGCTTAACAAGCTGAATAACTCTAAATGAATGCTACTGTTTGCAGTTGGAACTGCCAATTGTACAAGTCCTTCCTACAGGACTGGAAAAGCAAATGGGTTATGCAGTTTGACTTTTTACAACATCTTTTTAAGGAAGATGCACAAAGTTACTTATGTCTATGTTGTATTTACAGGAACCTTTCTCACAACCCCATCAAGAAAATACAAATAGACCAGTTTGATTTTCTAATTAAACTCAAATCCCTGTAAGTATCAAGTTTTTATATTTTAGCTATATTTTCTTTGTGATTATGCACACGTGCTTCAGAAGGACATGATCCAGAATACGTTTTGTAAGAAATCGCCCTTGAAATAGTTTATAGTTATGTTGATGATCCTCAACAATTTAAGCCGTGAAAATAATGACTAGCAATACTCAAGCTTTCCTTCTTGAAAATACCAGTTTCATAACGGAAATTTTTCCAACAAAAAGAGATCATAAAATCAGCTTAGAGAAGGACATTGCCTTTTCTGCTATTACAGAATAAGATTAATGCAACTCTCGTTTGGCCTTGCACAGTTTGTTTGCAGGGCTTAAGGGTCATGCAAGGTTCAGTTGGGGCTATTAACGCCATGGGCAGGTACCATAAGGGTATGTAAAGACAGGAACAAAAAAGAGATTTGGTATATGTACAAGTTTGGGGACATATTCCCATCCTTACAGAATCTACTGCCAACACTATGAGAAGAACAATATAAACCAGGTACAATTCAGCTGTCTTGTCAGAGGGAGATGGGAGTTTCACAAATTTTTTTTAAGAGTTTAGGGGCAGTTTTTGTGGGTGCACTAACACAGCAGCTCTAACTTGAATTCTGCCAGCAGAACTCTTCCTAAAACTGTGCGATAGTGCAGTGACAATCTTGCAAATCTGAAATTATCATGCAGTAGATTTAAGTACATCTTCACATGCCACTGCACATGTGCAATAACCAACTTGGTAGAGCACAGCATTGGTTCTTGCCAGTCATCATTTCAAAACCTTAGAATCATAGAACAGTTTGGGTTGGAAGGGACCTTTAAAGGCCATCTAGTCCAACTCCCCTGGAATGAGCAGGGACATCTTCAACTACATCAGGTTGCTCAGAACCCTGTCCAACTTGACCCTGAATGTTTCCAGGGATGGGGCATCTACCACCTCTCTTGGCAACCTGTTCCAGTGTTTCACCCCCCTCATCATAAAATATTTATTCCCTGAATCTAGACTAAATCTACCCTCTTTTATTCTAAAACCATTACCCCTTATCCTATTGCCACAGGCTCTACTAAAAACGGTTGTGGAGATCCAAAAAGAGATGTTTCCTTGGATAGGAGTGTAACAGGAGTTGATGATTTGACGTCTGAGCTGTAGCCAGCAGTGCACATGCCCTTGTTGATCAGTCCAGCTTCCTCACAGTGATTTGGAATCCAGTGGCCAAATTCAACTAAATTTGGTAAATGGCTAACAATCTGAAAATACTAAATCTGTACAAGTTTCATGAAAATAAGCAGCAGAGCTTGGAAAAGAATAACTAATTACCTCCCTAACAGTCAGGCTACAGCATATCCTTTATCCATTATTTAACACCAAAGAAGTCAAGCAATTCAGTGACCATGACCTTCCTTCTTTTGAAGTTAAGAAAGTTATTAAATCTTGAGATAGATCTATAAGAAACTGTATGTTACAGCAGTTTGTAGAACACCACTTGCCTTTTTGATAGTTTGAAATAGTAAGAATAGCTGGGGAAAGCACACCCTAAGATTCATTGCAGTTCCTAAATAAAACTAACACACTTCCATATTGGGGGCTTTTTTCTTGTCTCCTAGCAAAACTGCCCACTAGCCCAAAGCAACTAGCCAGCAAGGCTGGTGCCTTCCTCCACTTTTGCCTAAATGTGCTCAGAACTCATGGGAATATTGCGTGCAGAGCCTTGAACATTGAATTCAGATGAGTCTCCCCCAAAAAAAAGAACCAAAGACCTCTGATCGGTTGTGATTTTGAAGACACGTTGCACATCAAACTGATGGATGGGGTGGACTAGCAGATTGCAGAAACTGAAGTTCTGAAAAAACAGCTTATGTAGTTACACTTTACTGATCTAGCACTGCAGGGGAAATAATAGTGCCATTTTCAATATATTAAAAAAATAAAATAAAGTAAGAAATCCTGTCTGTGTGTCACAAGAAAGCCAGCATTCTCCCTTACATGCCATGTTCTGTGTCCCAGCTTCCTGCTGCTCTTGACACAATGAAGATTGAATTCTTGCAGTGGTTTATCTAATACAGCCCTCCCTAGGATAAAAACCAGAAGAGATATGTAAAATAGTAATATTGGATCAAGCTATTGTTTTCCCAGAGATGATGAAAGCACATCAGTAGAACAATACTTTGGAAGGGCAATGTAATAATCGGAGATGGCACTGCTGAGAGCAGTAAAAGAGCCACCTTCATGATTTTGGAAGAACAGTGAGTTTATTAGAATTAACTGCAATTCATTTTATTCCTCTTCAGCTTTTAGCAGACTTTCTGTCAAGTTTCAAAGGGATGACAGGTTAGATGTAATTAAAGTTTGTCTCTAGTTGCATATAATCATAGGAACACAATTAAACACTCATAAAGTTTGTTCTTTTACTATTGAGTTTCTATTGCCTTTTATTGAGAGTATATTGTTTACAGCAGCTTGGAGGGCATTGAAATTGCAAACATCCAGAGGAGAATGTTCAGACCCCTTAGAAATCTTTCCCACATGTAAGTAGATTATTCCAGTTTCCTTCTTTGGTCTGAATTTTACATTTTACAAAATACTGGATAATTGAATACAGAAGTGTATGAAAAGCAGCATATGAGCAGTTGTCAAATTTCGACAGTTTTTAATTAATTTTTCTTGCAGAGTATGTTTTCTGAGAAGTTACTAGAGAGTTTTGATATTCTGATGACTGAACTAGAACCATCTCCTGTTTTTCTTTCTCACAAACAGATATTTTAAGAAATTCCAGTACTGTGGATATGCCCCTCATGTGCGCAGCTGTAAGCCCAATACTGATGGGATTTCATCGCTTGAGAATCTTTTAGCTAGCATCATACAGAGAGTGTTTGTCTGGGTTGTATCTGCCATCACCTGCTTTGGAAATATTTTTGTCATCTGTATGAGGCCTTACATCAGATCAGAGAATAAGCTCCACGCCATCTCAATAATGTCTCTCTGCTGTGAGTATTCCATGCATAGAAGTAAAAACCCATTGTTTTAGTCTGCTCATAGCACATATATTTATTTTATTATAGTGACATATTTCCAGCATTGGATTAACTGAACTTTCATGCTGTTGTGACTGACAATACAAAATGCTGTACCTTATGCACCAGGAGGTCTCGTTAAACATTGCCTTTGGCAGCTGATAAATTCCAAAAGTTTCATGTTTGATTTTAATGCCGCGGGTATTGTGACAAATTACCGCTTTCTTCAGCAAGCAGAAATAAAATTCCAAATTTTTCAAAGGCTCATAAATCTAGATTTTACTATGCATTTTTGAACAAATAGCGATTTGCGCGTGTAAATATTGTGTTCAAGATAATTATTCTATTTTTCACACGAGCAAAAGGTTACTTATGTAAATACAGAAAATCAATCACTCCTAGCTCCCCAACATTAAGAGTTAGGGGGATTTATTTTAGTCCTAAAAGCAAGACAAGTTTATGGACAAACTGTCTAGCAGTAGTCACTACAATCTTGAGCACCTTGTCTCAGTACAGGGGAGTCTGTAAGTATTTCACAAATACAATTACTTGCATTTTGAAAGTTAATTGTCAAGCGTACAAAACGATTGCAATGTTCCTAAATGCATGTCAGTGATTTTGAAACTTAGTTGTTTCCATGGGAACAATCTGAACACTATGCAAACCTTCTGAATACCTGAGAATATCTAAATACCAAAATACCTGAGAAGCCTTCAGCTCTATGTTGACAGCTCCTCTTCCCCTACTAGTCTCAGAAGACTGTGCACATCAGTTTTGAACTAGCACAAGGTGGACAAACCAAAACTAAACTTCGAATCCAGCAGAGATGCCCTACTCAAAGCAAATTATCTTAAGCCAAACGTCAGTATCAAAAGGAATATGATGTAATAAAAAAGGGTCACAAGAATATTTCTATAAATGAAGTCGTATCTTTTTCTACTCGCAAACCAATTTTATCTGAGCTTCAAAAAATCAAGTTGGAAACAAGTATGAAACATAGACTGTCAGTTCAAATCAGAATTAAAACAAGAAAAACAAAAAAAAAGAGGAGTAGAAGTGAATTATACTACCTTAATTGTAATTCACAGTAGCATTCCAACTATTATATTGATTTTATATCTATCTATTAGCTGACTTATAAATACGTACTCATACAATGTGTGTATGTCTGTTTTCCAATATACATATACACAGAGAATGGGAAATTCAGATGTGTAAATAATGATGTTAAGCACTGTGCCCACAGGTGCTGACTGTCTGATGGGAATATATTTATTTGTGATTGGAGCGTTTGATCTTAAATATCGCGGAGAATACAACAAGCACGCTCAGTTGTGGATGGACAGTATCCATTGCCAACTGGTGGGATCGCTGGCTATTCTGTCTACAGAGGTGTCAGTCTTACTGTTGACTTACCTGACTCTGGAAAAATACATCTGCATAGTTTATCCTTTTAGGTGTTTGAAGCCCAGAAAACGCAGGACTATTTCCATTTTGGTTCTTATCTGGATAATTGGGTTTGCTGTTGCTTTTATCCCACTGAGCAACAAGGAGTTTTTCAGGAACTACTACGGCACCAATGGCGTCTGTTTTCCCCTTCACTCAGAACAATCAGAAAGTTCAGGAAGTCAGATTTATTCTGTTGTCATTTTTCTAGGTAAGTTGCGTTTCTTCTTTATATAAGATTAGTGCTGCATACACACTTAATTTTCAAACAAATAAGGTAGCTTTGCCGTGATGTTCACATCCCATATTTAGATGCTCCATAAGCACTTAAAGACTTTTTCCAGCCTAAATGTTCCACTGTATTAGGTAGATACTTACATATCTTAAAATGCATGAAGGGCTGAGAAAGTAGAAAGAAATTAATGACCATTAAGTTCCTGAATGAACAGATTTTGTCAGGGAAGTAGAGCAACGATAAGACCAGAGGAGAACTACGTAGTTTGGATCAGATGGCAGTCATTTATCAGGCGACGATGAACGAAATAAATACCTGAGGAGAGGTGAAAATTCAGTGTTCAGGTGAAGACAGACTCAGATCTTCCGGCCGCTTCATTCTATGGCACTAGCAGTTTAGATGAAACATTTTTCTTTACTGCCCAGCCTGTGCAGACAGGTGATGTGGAAATTATAACTAATTTTAACTTCTTAAACAGGTGTAAACTTGGCAGCTTTTATCATCATTGTGTTTTCCTACGGGAGTATGTTCTACAGTGTTCACCAAACAGCTATTACGGCTACTGAAATTCGGAATCATATTAAAAAAGAGATGATCCTTGCTAAACGTTTTTTCTTCATTGTGTTTACTGATGCACTATGTTGGATACCCATTTTTATTTTGAAACTCCTTTCTTTACTTCAAGTAGAAATACCAGGTATGTCCTTTCATTTTTTTGTGAGGCTGTTTCGACTGTATCTGTATGAAGAGTGTTGCTTCTACTTTACAAGAGAAAGAATTAAATAGGTGGAACCATATTACTCTAATGAACTTATATATCTCTATATATGTACACACAATATAATTAACTGTATAGTTTTACTACTGCATTGAACTATATTACTATAATCATCAAAGATTAGTCACCTTTGAGTCAGTCAAAAAAAAAACCCTGAAATTCAAATCGTTCACATCCATCTTCATCGAATATCTATAAAATGTACAAAATGCATTTGAAATCCAAGGCTGAATTGCATTGGCTCTTCTCATCTTATGGCTTTTGCTGGTTCTGTTGCCTAAATACAGCTCAGGACAACATAGTGTTTCCTATCTTGATTTGACAATACAATTGTTATCCTGAAAATTTCTTTCTTTTACAAAATGGTACTTATATTTCAAAACGTTAAGTTATATAAAGCTCTGCTTATCTTCTTACTCTGTGAATATATTCCCATGTAAAAATAGCATAACCTAAAAGAATAAAAATTGCAGCTGATTTTTTTCTTTCTCTTTGCAATGCCAGTACATGCCAGAAAAAAATAGCCTCTTTATGCAGGGCTTGTAAACCCTGTTAGAAAGAACAGGTGAACATGAACAGTATCAGCAGTAGCGGATTCAGACTCAACCCACAGATACCTTTTGCAATACTACATTGGTGAGAAAACATTTTAGCTCAGAGGATTTTGTCTTATGTGCAGACACCAGGAGTGTTAGGAGTTACCTTTTCAAAGTTTTGAATTGCCTTTCAAATATCTGAAAGTTACGCTGGTTATGCCAAATATTTTCAGTTATTTTAAATCTTCTAAAATGCTTCTTCATGAAGTTATCAAACCACCCGAGAAATTTTAAAGAAAATATTGTGAAAACTAGAAGCAGATGTAATCTGAGTCAAGAAATCTTGAAGAAATCTTGCTGAACGGCAGGACGATCTTGGGTTCGGCAAATGAAAGTTCTGCATTAGATAAACCAGATTAAACAGCAATTATTCATTTAATAAAATTAAAGACATCACAGAGAGTTGTCTAAGTCCACAGAAGTTTTAAACCCCACTTGATAACATTTCTTTTTCTTTGGGGATACACTATGACAGCTTTTGAACTAAGCATCTACTTGTTTCCAAAGCTGTAGACAATGTTATGGGCATCAACAGGAATATATTGATATTGCAACAAAGTCGTAAAGCCAGAGAGGGGGGGAAATGGAGAGGGAATTAAGCTTTTTGTACCGCTTGGAACAGTTCCATAATTGTTTTAGAAATCAAACAATGCAACGGAGTGGGCTCAGTAACATCTTTCAGCACTTTAATCCTGTCCCTTCTCCACCTGCCCGTCAGGTAACAAGCTGACGTATCTCCCAAAGGTAAGGATGAGATCAGGGACATTGTTAGGATCGGATGTCACTAGTCACGGGAAGAGGATGGGGAACAGAGATGGCAGGAAGAGACAGGGAGCAAAGCAGAGACAGAAAGTTTAGAGGCAAGAAAACGAGGCTCAGCCAGAACAAGAAGTGTACCAGGGAAAATAGGGAGCTATGGTACAGAAAAGCAAGAGGGTGAAATGGAACTCCTGGGAGAGTAAAAAATGTCAAGTTTTGCAGGGATTCCTGGAAATAGAGGGATGTAAAAGGGCAGTGCAAGTGTAACAGTGAAAAGAAAAAGTACCTGTTGTGACACGGATTCAGCCTAGGAGTGCATGACCACCCGTCTCACCAGGAAGCCGTGCTGCATGGGCATCCAGTGCTCACATCGATTAACAGGTACAAATGCTGGAATGCATATTATGGCTGCTTTTCTTTTTCCCTCCCTAAGGTACCATAACTTCCTGGGTGGTGATTTTTATACTGCCAATAAACAGTGCTCTGAATCCTCTTCTCTACACTTTGACTACACGACCTTTCAAAGAAATGATTCATCAGGTTTGGTATAACTACAGACAGAGAAGATCCAAAAGAGGTAAAGGCAGCCAGAAAACATACGGTCCGTCGTTCATTTGGGTGGAGATGTGGCCAATGCATGAAATGCCGCCAAAGTTAACGAAGCCTGTGCTTTGTACAGACTCCTCTGATGCTTCAGTGACGACACAGTCAACAAGACTAAATTCATACACGTAAATAAATACATTTTTGAATCTTCACGGTGATGTCTGCACTGTGAGCTTCCCATCAGCGGGCTTACTGCTTTGCAGCAACGAGGAAAGATGAGGGAGGTGTGACACCTGGGTTCAGGGAACCAAGGCAGCAAGAAGTGGGAGTGGTGTGTCTGTCTGCAGGTAGAACTGACACAACAATAGTTTCACCATCTCGCTACAGGACCTGACGTTTTGACAACTCATCCTAGAGCGGAATGAGAAGTCGGTTGTTTGGTTTTCTCCTCCCAGAAGCCAGGAGTGGGGGAAAAAAATGAATTGTCATTTAAAACATCTCACTCTGAAAGCAGGATGTTTCAAAATTATCTATCTTTGAGAAGAAAAAAAAAGGTTATAGAAGGTTATCGTCATTTAACTTTTTTTTTTTTTAATTCTTCATTTCAACAGCTGAATATTTTTAAGACCCCAAAATTTCTGACTGGCTCTATTTAGGCTGCGTCAGCTCTTAAAAGCTTTAGGGAGCGATAGCCCTAAGAAAAATATTTAAATTTCATAATTAGACCAGTTTATTACATTTGTCAAAGCCAAACAAGTGAAAATTTTATTCCTTTTAAAAATTTACAAACCGTTTAACTCATGCAAAGAAAATTCTGAAATTGCAATGATTGTTCTAATTCAGGCAGAACCAGAACTGTGAGGAAGGAAAAAAAAGAAAAGGTTTTTTGTCAACTGAGTGTCCCCCAGCTATTGCTGGTGGAGGTTTTCCCCTTCAGAAGAGAATCCTTCCCCGGAAACACCGGACTGAGCATCTTAACATCTGAATGCTGCTCTTTTGCTCACGGTTTCTTAATGGGCTACCACCAGTAGCTCCCCACAGCTTGCAGACTTCAGCAAATTTCAGTCTTAAGATGTCAATCTTGTACCTGGAATAACGGGAGACAGAGAAATAGAAGACATAATAGGTGCGACGACATCTACGTTTTGATCACCTTGTGCATCTGATTGGATGCATTATGGTTAAAATTATTTAAAGAGTACAGCCATTCAGCACTTCCTGGGGCATTATTTTACTTCCCAGCATTACAAGGGTAAAAAAAAACCAGATTTATCCCACATGAAACAATCTTTTAGAGGCAGTTCCTCTGTGTACACTTAAAGAAGAGCAACTTTTCCATTATGAATTACTACGACTTGCCTAGTTCTTTCAGTACCGTACTCACAGTCTGATGGCCTAGAAGCCCACGAAGGCAAAAGAAATGCTTCTTTTGCACCGATGATTTGAAGCTTTTTAAAGTGAAGTTAAAAGATACTTCCAATTTTGCACTTAACTTCTTAACAGCGTAAGAAGTAGAATTAAAAAAAGTGTGACTCACACTTCAACTGTTTACAGAACTTTGGATTATCTTGAAATTGAAGATTGTTAAGCATCTTGTTTCCACTACTGTACGTTTTATTCAAATAAAAGATATCTGCTGAACAAAACAACTTCTTTTCCAAGTTACTTAACAACATTTTGGGTTGTGGGGTTAAAAGCGGCCAAGTGAAGTCCTGCCACGTGGACTGCCTTTAACTGGGGCAGTTAGAAGTCAGTTTAATAGAATTTGTGTACTCTGAGGGGCCAAGCCAGATTCTCAATGACTGTAACTACTTTTGATGAGAAATGCAACAATGTCTGTCCTTATCATTACTTCTGTCTTTCACTTAAGTTGATCACGGACATATTCAAGGTCATCTTTGCTTCTACGAGTCACATAAGAATACCCATTATATCAAAATTTTTTGTAACAACTTTATTGTTTTGGTAAGAAAACTACAGTTTGTCTTTTTAAAAGTTCTTCTACCAGTAAAAATAAGGCTAGCTAGCTAATAAACCATAGTACAACCATGCTTTCCTGCAGCCTCCCGTTGCCTTTCAGCATTACTTTTTTCACATTGCTCCGGTAAAGGTAGCGGAGTTTCAGTACAGGTATTTATTACAGACTAGAGATCTTTCAGACCAAAAGGTTCTGTTAACTGTAAGCTCTAGGCTAACTAATCACTGCTTAAGGCAAGACATAAAAAAGGACCAAAAACTGAAAAAGCTTTAACGTGCTTCCCAAGAGATGGGTGAACACATTTCACAGATTCTTTTCTAACCGATGGAAGATTTTACTTATTGTTTGAAATAATCTATCCTTTCAGTAAACAATGCTGCTAAACTTCTACCATGCAGAGATACATGGTCCATCATAAGGCACTTTATTACAGCAAAAGATAAGCGTAAAATTGCTTGCAGTAATCAACCATCTTGCTAAAAATCTGCAGCTTTAAAGAAACATATTGCAATACTGCTAAAAATAGTACAGTTTAGGATATGTGGCTTATCTAGAGCTCATAAATAAGCCACAACTTGCCATATGATCCCATCCTCAGCACAAAGAAGTGTGCATAGAGAAAAACTGAAGTTAGTTCAGCAAGTTTCTCTGGAGTTGGCAGGGTTTCCACTGGTGACAGCTCTTAAAAAGGAGGGCTGGCAACACCTCCTCGCAGGACACCACTTCCTCACCACTAATGAGTTCTGAACATACCACACATACGAACTTTGCATCCACCACATTAGCAAAAAAAAGACAAGGGAGAGTATTTCATGTATGAGATCGCTTGAGCTGCAACGCAAGAGTCCAAAAGTCAAAACTGATTGCCTAAACAAAGTTATTTTACTCAGTGACTCACACACAACATCCATACAAGTCATCAAGTATTGCTGAAAGAACTCTGGGCTCACAGGGAGCTGCTGAGGCAAAACAAAAATCCACGTGAACTCCCTAAAAAAGGTCGCTTTATTCCAGCCCGACAGCAGCGGGCAGCTCAGCGCGGAGCCGCGGCGGGGGCAGGGTCAGCCGCT